GAACGTGTGTTGCGGCGAGCAGGTTGGGGTGGGGGGTGGGGGGGGGGGGTAGGTAAATGAATTTAGCTCGTCCTTATTTTAGTTCATATAAAGCACTCAGGACATTGTTTGGAAAAGGTCTCTGGCTTTGGTTCAGCCTCCATCAAAGTTTACAACACCGACGCTGCCGACAGCGGAGCCCAACGGATACTGATGAATAAATCTGATAATATGTCAACGTCTTTCTCCAACACAAGTGAGCTGGAGGCTTCAATGCTGACCTGGGAAATAACAGTTTGACAATAACACAATTCTTAGCAGGAGCTTAACTTACTGGAATTCTTTTCTGGAGCTTTCAGCCACACCTCATGGTCCTCATCAGCAGATGGTTTGTGTTCAGTTGCAATGATTATCTAGAGCCGGACTAAAACTGGCATCTACTGTATCCACTGATGGTTACAAAAACCTAAACATGTGGGACACTTAACAGCCAAACAACAAACCATGTGTCGGAGCAATATGTAAGACATGTTGGGACAACTCATTCTTGGGTTCTCACCTAGCTGGTAGCTGTTCTGGAGCTTTTCAGCTGCATCACATGATCTTCCTCAGCAGATGCCCTGTTGTGAATACTAAATGTTGAACATGTAGTATTTTAAAGACTTGACTGAGAAGTTGAGATGAAGAGACTGCTGCGGAAGATTTGATTTAAACCGAAAGCGCCAGAACCGCTACTGAAGGACATTGCTGTGCGATGTTTTTGCCAAGTTCTTCAAACACATCTTTATGACTCAAGTTCTAGTTGTTGGTTACCGTATACAGCGATCAGACGATTTATTGGCTCTACTTTCATCATCTTATTAAACAAACCATTTGCAGATAGAGGCCAGCGCTCCCCGTGTGAACACCTTGTGATTCTTATCTTAAACAGAGATTCTTCAGCCATCTGGAACATTTACTGGATGCACATTGTTCTCCATCTAACGGCACGCACGCAAATACCGATACCGGCATACGATTTATCAGTCAAGTTGTACTAATTAACATTTTTGAGAGTCAAAGACAAAAAATGTCATACAATGCCATAATGATGAACGTGATGTAAAACACTGGAACCCGTCCGATCACCAACATGGACGTCATGCAGTAACCGCAGCGCTGCTCACAGAAGCAAAGCGGCTGCCTGCCTGCTCTGGTCATCATGCACATGGAGACCAGATGGAAGTCACATTATTTGTGCGTGTGTGCGCGCGCGTGCGCAGGCTGGGCCATGCAGATTGACGGCTATAGGAGAGGACGGTGGATTGAGCCTCAAAGCTTCAACAGGTTGTGCTTGAACTTGTTGATGACAGAAGGAGATGTGCTTGTGTTCATTATTATTTTTTTTTCTGGAGGACAGAGACGTTCGGTTCGTATTTTGTGTGAAATGAGATGAAAGCTCAGCTCAGTCTAGGGTGGAGCCGTACACTCATCGGATGTGTTGGATTCTTGTTTCACACTCGGGGACAAAACGTCTGTAATCTCTTCAGTCAATATGTAAAGTGAAAAAGAACTCAAGGCACAAACAAATACTGCAACATGGAATACAGTTGTGTTTAGGGCTCTCACACACTTTAGAGACTTTAGATGTGAAGAAAAGGGGCTGCAGGGACGGGCGGAGTCAACTCCCCTCCTCCTGGCCGAGGACGAACACCAACTATTGAGAAAACTGACCCGAGACCCCGTTTAGCACTCTACTGGACCGGAGCTTTGTCTTCAGCCAACCAAACGAGATACCAAGCGGATCAACTAGACAACACTGACCCCGTCGTCACACCATCCAACACTCACAAGCTGCTCTCTGAGTTGTGCTGGTTTTTTTGCAATTACCATAACAGAGAAAGTGGTACTTGATTGAGCAGCTGTGCTGAACCATAAGCACATTGTCTGCTTTAGACTTTCAGCAGATAACTACACACCGTTAACTACATTAGACACATCATTCAAAGCTAAAAGCCTGCGCCTTGTTTGCTAAATGCTGCCATTGAAATACGACACTTATCAATGGCCTGCACCCAGAATGCACCTGTGAAAAACATCTGTAACCAATTAGATCACTTGAACTCAGGTGTGCTCTTTGGTGGGAGGACGTCACTGTGTCTGATGCCGAGTATTGAGAATAAACACATTGACTGCGTGTGTTCACATATGTGTTCTATGTTTACAGCATGCTACAAATGAAACCTTTGTGTGAAGAATTAAGATGTTGCACAAATATCATTTTTTAGAAAAGTTGATATAGTTTTGAATGACGCGTTTCATTTTGAAAGTGATGAAAGATATGGTGTGTATGTTTTTGTTTGTAGAGTTTTGACAATAAGCGCCCTTGTTTCGGAACTTGTGTTTCAGCAATTGCAAAACAAAAACCTATGAAGAGAGAGAAGAGAATGAAGTAAACCTTCTGGCCTCATGGACTAAACTGTCCCAGTCTGAATCCACCCAACCAGCCGATCACCAGGAGTCAGGCACACTCCAGCTTACTGCTGCCGTCAGATCACAGCCACTCACCTATGAACAGCATATGCTAACATGTGATGCTAAGCTAAGAAAAGGGACCCATCTGCTAAACCAGAGTTAAAGCTCTGCTGTGACAGGAGGTTGAGCCTTTAACTCTGTAAGCACATACAGGTTGCTATGACGATACAGCGTGGCTTGAAGACGGCCTTCACCAGAACACTCCAGATGTTACCTAGAAGTCTTGAAGAAACTATTTAAAAGCTGGATGTTTTCATTTAGTTTAGTGTTTGTTCAACATGAAACACATTGACTTTATCAAGACTTTTCTCCGTTCTTTGGGTTACACGTCGACTGTGGAGCACGAGAGGACTGAAGGTCCACACGACGGGCAACTGATGGACAGATGGTCCTTTTTTGGGAGTATTCCTTTAAACTCTTCCATTCTCAAATTAGTCTCAGATTAACTTTGTCCATCAACTAATTGATTAATCGACAAATTGTTTCCTCTGAACAGAAACAGCATCCTCCACCTGCTGCCTTTAAACATGTATGTTTAGCAATAAAGTTCAGACCGAACCAGAACCCATCTCACAAGGAGGACCATTTACTAGCTACTCTAGAGCTTTCAATCACTTCATCAGCAGCCGGGTTTTAGATCTTCTATCTATCCATCTATAACTCCACGGCAACGGGGCAAACTCTATCTGTTGATGAAGACCATGTGATATGATCAAAAGCTCCAGAACAGCTAATAAATAGACCTCATGGAGCCTTAAAAAAAGACACTTATGACAGTATAACTCTGCACAGCACACAGCTATCGTGGTGCCTGTAGGTACGTGTCTGTCAGTGTAGACACGGTCCCTGCAGCAGTCACACGGAGACCCTGTAGCTCTGAGGTTCTTACATGTCTTTGGTCACCAACGCCTCACAGTGAAATGAAGGACCACAGCTCGGCACAGTGTATAGGGGCCTCTAATGCAGCAAGCATCAGGATGAAACAGTGTGACAGAAGATACGGTCTTGGTTGTGACTCCAACATCTCAGTGTCCACACAACTACTCATTGTCAAATTCAAAAGCTAGAGGTGCTAGTGAACACCAGAACATCTGCCTACACGTCTCTCTCTCTATCTTTATAGTGCTCAAAGCTTGAAGGAAATTTAACTTTTCACAGCGCGTGCCATTCAAGAACAGCAGTTCTCTCATTCTGGCCCTTCTGATAAGAACACTACGGTCCAGACACACAGCATCCAGCCCAACCCCACGCTCCAGCGCATGGTACAGTACAATGAACAGCTTTATCACATAATCCAGCACTAAACCATCAGAATAAAAAAGATCTAAAAGTGAAAACACATCTGAGACAAAAAGGAAACATACACTCTCAAATGAGCGTTGGCCACGCCTCCTCCTGAGGAGCAGCGCTACTCCTTCACACAGTGCACCTCAAGAGAAGAAGAAAAGCACAACAAAGGCAAAATGAAGAATATGCACATCTCTAACTGATGAAATAACTTATGTTTGAAAAGAACACAAAATAAATTAAGGCATGCAAAAGATAAGGTCAAATCTTAAGATTTGGATATTTCTGTTTTAAGCCAAACATCCTATATTGTTAGAAGATCTTCCTGTTCGGAAGAAACCACTCACTCTTATTAAATCCTTAGAACAAAGGTAGCTGCCAAAATAAAATTCAAACCCACTGGAATATCACTGTAATACGCCCGAGCATCTGAAGGCCCATATTTACATATTTGTGTTCTGTGTTCGAGCTTTTACGAGGCCGATATTTACATACATGTTCATGCGGATTCAGCAGCAGTGCAGCGAAAAACAAGCAGCGAACACTTGAGTGACATGGACAGGAGTGCTCCTTCGAACATCCCGAATCAAGAGAAAATAAATACCACGTATCAAAAAATAATGACAGAAACCCGATAAATGTACATCAGAACATTAAGGTCACCCTCGCTCACATCCCTCCTGTTAACAAAGGAATACTGTGGCCTGACAAAATGATATGTATAAAACAAAGGATAGTAGAAAGTCTGTTGGCTTGTAAGGTGACGGTGATACATCAGAAGTGAAGCGGTGCGGCGCCGAGCAGAGGGAGCTGTGGTTCTGCCACGTTAAGGCTTAGCAGCAAACATCAGAGCTGAGACGCTGCTGCTCCCTCCAGCCTCAACCAACTCATGTCAGCTCGTAGTAGTTAAGCCGGCACGGACGAAAAGACATGCAGCAACTCACCCATCGCACGCACGCATCGCACGCACCCAGCGCACACACACACAATCAACAGTTCACGTTGAGAGACTTGCCACTGCCTCTTCGTTTTTCCTCTTTTTTCTCTCCTCGGTTTGGATTTTCATCTTTTTTTCCCCTCGCCAAGGTTTCTTGGCAGCATTTGGTGGTGCACCTCTTCACCCCTCCCTCTCCTCTCGTCCACCTGGAGCCGGGGGTGTGGAGGAGGGGCAGTTCAGTAGTCTGCGATGGGGGCGAGCTCGGGGCTCAGGTCCACCGTGATGTTCTTATAGAGGCTGCTGAGGGACGTGTGGGGGCTGTAATGGAGGTTGTTGAGGCCGTCCAAGTGTTGCCGCTCTTTGGAGTACCTCAGCAGTTTATACCTGCAGACACAGTCACACACTCCGATCATTGGTGTCCACTCCGTATGCCCCGCCCCTACTGTCCTACAGGACGGACACTGTGGCGTCAGGAGTAACCAATGGGCTTGGAGCTCACAAAAAAGTTTCATTAAAAACTAAATGGCTCAATGGGGACTATTTTCATCAGTGGATTAATACACATTAGGTGTTCTAGCACATAATTGTGGCGGTAAGTAGCGATGAGACACCAGTTTGATGTCTCACTGTGTGGAAGAGATCAGGCTCGACTTAAACATGGCTTTCCTAACTTTGTAAAACAAAAGGCAACAAATAAAGACATAGATAGAATGTACTTAATTGTTATTTATTGTGATAGTAAAAGAAAATGAAAAGAGAGAATATTAAAATAGTATGTGATTACAGATGGGCCTATTCACTGATGCAGCTATCTGAGTGCGAGTGCATCTCTAGATGTGAGGCCACACTCAGTATGAATGGAGCTCTATGGCACAGAGCAGGAAGAGATGTCAGGCTGTGGTACTGATCGGACCTTTCATTGATTTCATGACCAAAAGAAGAAATGTCACCAGCCCACTTTAAGGATCACTTATGTGCTACCCTCCTGTGACTCTAGAGGGAGTTCCATGTATTCACTGAGAGAAGGAACAACAACAAACAACAAGGACAAGCCCTGGAGCCAGTATCTAGTGACGTTAGATGAAAGAAGTTGGTGTAGTTTGGACACGCGACACTCCGTTCAGTATTCATTTGAATGAAGACGCAAACAGCGCTTTGTTGAAAGGTGGGGGCGGGCCCTCAGGGCTCTGTGGAGTGAGTCCAGCATGTGGTCTGTAGCGGTTCACTGTTGCTGCTGGATATAGTAACATGACAACCACACTCCTCTGCCCTCCCCAGGCGTAAACAAGTGACCACTGCACTAGTAATTCACATGAAAGTCTACTTTAAAACAGAGACCTCGTTGAAGATCGGAGACAAAAAAGCGGTCTTACCTCCCGAGGAACTGCACCTCTCCTCTGTGGTGGTGAGGGATGGACTTGTACTTGCCGATCTCTCCCTCTGGTCGCGTGACATTCAGACCAGCATAGTGAACCCTGAGGAGAACCAGCACAGGACCAGTATGAGTCAACCCACTGTGCTTCAGTTTGTCTACCAACAATCTGCTGATGGAAGCATGATGAAGATCTACTTGCAGGTAGTTGCAGTAGCACATACCAGAGTAGTACTAGTAGTACTAAATCACTGAACTGATACTTAATGTGGGGAGAAGATGAATCTCAAAATGTTGGTGCAAGTATTTATCAAGAGTGTGAGAGGAGGATCAAGTCAAGCACTTGATCACCTTTCCTAACAGACTGTAGGGAGCCCCTCACATAGCTCTGCAGGAGAGGGGGGGCAGACACAGGAACACATACTGAGGTAAAGGGTTTTAAGGATCCTTTGACAAAAACAGAATCATTTTTGAGGCAGAACATGAGCTCGCTCCTCAGAAACGCAGAACTTCAGCTGTGACACAGCGACCATTCTGTCGGATCCGACAACTTCAACCTTCATAAAGCAAACTGTTTACTGCCAGTTACTCTCTCAGCTAAAGCCTCGGAGGGACTCTGACGTTAAATAGAGAAGAGACACCATCTGTGTTTAGATTGGTTCCACACAAGTCTCACTTTCACAATATAATTCTTACTGCCACCGGGTCGCGGTCTCTCGGGACCATGAAGGTTCTATTCTTTACTAGTTTTACCAGCATTCATCATGACACGAGATCCAGACTTCTAGTTCAAACTGGGATTCTTACAGTTGTTGTGCTTTAGTAGACATGTTGCTAACACGATGAACCAGGAACTAACCCCAACAAGGAAGCCAGGACCAGCCAGAAACAAACGCATCAACATTTATTTTACTGAGACAAAAGAAACACACATCTAGGATTCATTCGCCATCTTTCAATTCAACTGTAAAGTGAACTTTGAGCAAACTATTCAAATCTGGCACAAAAGAGACAAGAGAGGCGTTGACTCTTTAGGCTACATGAGACTGTAATCCACCAGTGAACAGAGCAGAAGAAGTAGAGGTTGTGAACCAGAAACTGAACAGGCCTCTTTGACCGTCTACGAGAGAGAGGTCTTCAGAGATGAGTTGAACTGCTTGAGTTGTAATAGTTCTCTCATGTCAGCTAGTATTTCATGTTGCTCTCTGTATGGCAGCACGTTATGGAATAACCAGGAACAGGTCATCAGTTGTGCGAGTCAAATGATTGTGCGTGTATGTATTTGACAAAAGGTGTTTCCATAATACAGTTAGTGCAACAACCCTTATCAACAAAGGACAAACACTTTATGTCAAATGTTTCCATATGGCTTTTCTACTTCAAAATGTGCATAAGAACACATGTCTGCTTTCTATATCTACAGCGGTGAAAACAATAGAGTCACTTGTAAACACTAGGGGGGGGGTGTCTAATACTAGTGTGCAGATACCTTCAGTAGGTCACCATGGACACCACAGTGAGTGGTCTGCTGTGGACTACATTCACAAACACAATAGAACATGTTGCTGGTGAGAAACTTCCATCGTTAAACGACTGCTCCACAGACTCAGCAGCTCGCTCCTAGGACCATGTGGGACCATGTGGGACTGGAATGTGAAGCAGACATCAGAGAGAAACTAGTGCGTCAGAAGGTGAAGAGCAGCAGACAGTGGAGACTGTTATACTAGTATGTTCTGTAAGTCCATCAATGCACAACCGTCTGCATCACCATGCATCTTAGAATCATCTCTAGTGAGCTCCCCACCTTCAGATTCTATTACTTTTGAATCTTGTAGTGTTCAGACTCAAGTGACATCACTCGAGGACATTTATCAGGCTTCACAGTGCCCTTATATGACTGTCTCCCCACACATGCAGTAGTTCACCACAACACCTGGAAACACACACTGATGGGAAAAACAGTTTCCCTTCATCTTCAAAAAGCTGAGCTTGGTCTTTGTTCATCCTCCTGGCCATGGCCACCATCATCTTTCAATAACAACAATGATAGTAGAATACTCTTTAATAATGATACCTTTGTGTCTGAGGAGAGCCTGCTTCAAGCCCATTGTCAGGTCACTTGTGGACCATCAAGAGGAGACAAAGCTGCTGCTGTCTGCACAGCTGGATGTGAAGCCCCTCCTTCCTCAACGGCTTCCCAAACTACAACACAACCACCTGAGTGACTCAATGAAGGGTTCTGGTTACTTCTCTTTAGTACACTCACCTGTTCCACAAGTCATCATCCTCTCCTCCCCAGCCCCAGAATGCATTGGGAAAGCCATTGATCTTGCGGAACTGCTCCACAGTGAGTCCGCTCACACCACCAAAGAACTCGCTGTACGGAAGACTGGAAACACAAAAATGGATCATATATATATACATAACATGAATCTAAGTGATCTGGATCATTCACCACATGTCCAAATATTTCATGCTTCAACTCTCATGTCTGTTTGTCAACACTGTAGAAGAATATCTGCATGTGTTTCACACACAGTTCATTTATATTCTACACATTCTCAACGCTGACGACACACTCACATGTACATGTATTTGTCCAGCTTGGCAGCGAAGTGACGTGGCATCTGACCACAGCCGTAGTAGTTTCGGTCGTTCTCAGGGATGTGGTCCACGTCATGGAAGACCAAGCAGTCCCAGTCCAAGTCCTTCATGGCCTCCAGGAAGCCCACGTTGAACAGCATGGCTCTGTTGAAGGGCTGGGTCCCACTCTATACACACACACACACACACACACACACACACACACACACACACAGGTACTTGAATGTCATGTATTTGTGTGTAATGTCAGTGCCCTCCTTCACAATCCACAAAGCCTGAGAACAGTTTCATTCAGCAAAACTGCACTGACGGAACATAATTGAGAGTTTGGTTTCACTTCACAGACTTTACTGTTTTTCTCTCATTTACTGCCACACTACGTTCTCTCGTCTATGTTGGTGTTTCGCTGAGGAAGAGACACACACGCACACTGTCGCAACACACACTAGCTACTCTGTTTCAACAATGTTAGACTGAAAAAAAACATGCATGCAGGCAGAAAAAGATTCACATCTCTAGTAGATTGCAAAAATACATACAACATACACAGCAGTACACACTCACATTACCTGTTCGATGACGTAGAAGGCAAACTGCAGCCGCTGTCTCTGCAGCATGGGGATGAGGTGTTGGAAGAGGATGGGCAGATGTTCATGGCGGTTTCTAAATGGAATCAGGATGGCCACCTACAGGACCAGCATGAGTTAGATCCATCTGGTTTCTAGGTTTGGTTGTTTTCCCAGAAGAATGTATTCTGCATAACTGACATAATACTTGATATACATTACATACGACTGTACTTTTGTTTACAGGATATAAAATGAGTAGACTGCATGAACCCACCTTCCAACGAGGTCTACAGTCCTTTGGTTTCCAATGGCCTCCGAAGTCAATGTCAAAAAACTTGGAGAACTTGAGTTCTATCTCCTCCATAGGGATCTCCGTCATGTTCACTTCCATAAGGCCCTCTGTGGAGAGGGAGAGATTATTCCACTGATACATCAACATTACTTGCTTCTGCAAATGTCGGCACTTTGCAAAACAAATCGGAATCAGCAGGTCATACTTAAAAAAAAGAAAAATCTGAATTGGACAACACATTAGCAATTGGTGCATCTTTACTTTCAAGCAGCCAAACTAGTATCGGGAGTTTCCTTCCCACCCTGAGCATCACATAAGAGCTAAATGGCCTGCCGTGTGAATGGACCCTCTGAGACAACTCTTTGTCTCTACTCACTCATAGAAGGTAATCGCTGTGGGCAGGCCAGGTTCTGGGCGTAGGTGAAGTTCTCAGGGAGGTACGTGGTTGGCTGCACCAGGTATTCACTGGAGTTACTGCCGTCAGGATAGTCTGCAGCAGAAAGCACCAACATCAGTTACAATACTTCAAACCACACCATCTACATCCAATGATAGAGCTCAACGTTCACTTGTTGGTCATTATGACCACATGTCTATTTACTTCTTTTTGTAGGCTGTAGATAGAGTTTTCTCCAAGTGACTGTAAATTGATACTGCAGCACGATTACCTCACTTACAAAATACTTCTCTGTAGATGTTGGGAATATTACCATATTGTCATGGAGTTTTAGCACACAATCACATACTTCAGAGGTGAAAGGTACAGATATGACGTAGCCTCCTCCTCCTCACATCACACTGAAGCTAGTGAGTTACATGCAGCCGCTTTATTACACCATCTATTCATCTGGTGTTTATTACAACACAAGTTATTCTCTTTTTTCCAGAGGATATAATAATAATAATAATACATTTTTAATTGAGCACTTTTCATAATTCTCAAAGACACTTTACATTAAAATCATCATATAAAAGAAAGCTATACACCAACACTGTAAAACACATAATATCGGTCACACCTTAAAAGCAGTTCTGAACAGGTGGGTTTGATTTGTGATTCGAACATGGAGAGGTCGGTGCAGTCTCGGATGTGTTTGGGGAGGGAGATCCAGAGGGAGGGGGCAGCTATGGAGAAGGCTCTGTCACCCCATGTCCATGTCGGGTGCTTGGTCCTGAGCGGAAGGGAGAGGAGGCCTCAGAGGAGCGGAGCCGACGGGATGGAGTGTGGTGGTGGAGCAGGTCGGTGAGGTAGGAGGGGGCCTGATTGTGGAGGGCTTTATGAGTGAGGAGAAGGACTTTGTATTGGATTTGTTGTTGGATGGGGAGCCAGTGGAGGTTCTGGAGAACAGGGGTGATGTGGTTGCGGGAGCGGGTGCTGGTGAGCAGGCGAGCAGCAGAGTTCTGGATGTACTGGAGTTTATTTAGGATTTTGGATGATGTGCCGTGGAGAATGCTGTTGCAGTAATATACGGTATCACAAACACTACTACTGGTCAGCTAGTGGTTCACAGTATTGAGATACTTCCATCTACCCTCCATCTGATTGGTCAAGTCTTGCCTATTTTCAACAAATCGTGAAATCATGCTTCTTTTGAAATAAATAATTGATCCCCTGTGTTTAAACTTTAACCTTGATGTTATTTATAGAGAAACTGAAAAAGATCAACATTACTGCCTGAGATACATTCAGGACAGCTCTTTGTTGTGTTGAGGGTGTTTTGTAGATGAGGCACTTAATGTAGTACTAAATCACAGTTGGATAACCGGCTTGCTTTTTGTGGTTGTCAATATAACTTTCTGGCATAATTCCATTGCTTCCATTTTAGTAATACACAGACAGAGACAGAAAGAGACAGCAAGGGCCCTGCAAGCCTCAAACAGCTGTTTCTATGCGCCTCCCGCTGCTGATTTTGACAGATTCATTCATAAATTCAAAACATATTCAGCACTCCGATTGATAAATGTAGTCTTTGATTTTGAAACTCTTGTTATTTAGCCTTTCTGTGGCCGTCCAGTAAATTTGTATAGCGCAACTTAGTCTACATGGTGATTTATTCACACACAGAGGAGATATTTATACAGATCAGGATTTATTGGGAGAAAGCAGGCGGTTCTAAGGAGAATCAGACATTCAGAACCCCTGGATAGTCAGAATGGAATCATCCATTGTATCATGAACACATTTCTTCGTCAAATCCGGCTCCTTAGATGGAACTGTAGTAGTGGACTACCCAGGGTCACTCCTATTTAAGCCAACCCCCCTATAGTAAGAAGTGATTGTGTGTGACTTACCCGTCCCGTTGAGCGTACTGTTCTTGTTGGTGTACAATCGAATCATCTGGCCGATGGTCCTCACATTGTCTCTCAACATGATGCCCTGAGCCTGCACCATGAAGAAGTACGTGTTGGCTGACAGAAAGACAAGGAAAAGAAGTTGGTCATTGGTTTGACTTATCGCATTAAATACACTCCAGTACATTGGCTTAGCGTAGCACCGTAGACACGGCTGTTACATGGCCTCACTTATTGTACAACATGACTTAACATGTACAGGTTACTGTTTCAGTCACAACAACTAACTCATCTGCAGCTAGAAATACTGAATGTCATTCAACATGAATCAACAGTTAAAGAAATATTAGAAGCTCAATGCTGTTTAAAGTGACAGGTGCGCTGACTTCCAAGCATGACGTATTGTAACTGTGTGACAGTAACTATCTCAGCTGTCTAGAGAACATCCACCGGAGCTGTTCAGGACCACAACCTGTTTTCTAGTTCTTTACCCTACACATTTAAAGATACACCGAGTTAAGGAATTCTGCTCAACAAACACAATTTAAGTTTCTTCAATATGTCCGTTCGGTTTGCATCGTTGTTTCCCAAAGTCCCAAAATGATGGGAAGAATGCAGTGGTGTAAGGTCTAGGCCAGAGTTAGATTGAAACAGATTAAACATTGGCTTGTGAAACACCTGTTCTTCTCCTACAATGACAAGTCAAAAAGTCTGCTGTGGGAAAAGTGTATCACACACACTCACAGGTTAACCAGTGATTGAAATGTGTGAAACTACACCAACCAGCAACAAAAACAGAGTGAACGTATTCATGATGCTTCTCAAAACCCAGCAGTGGCTAAAATCCCTCCCAGAGTGTGATGGTATCGTTCCTCTGAGCCCCACAAACCAAACTGAGTCAGATTGACCAAACTCCTAATTGCACAAACTTGTTGTAAATCACTCGTTTCACCTCAATAATCGCGGCATGTTTGTGAGGTTAGATCATGAGCAGAACCAACACCATCCAACTGCTGTAAGGGTTAGTCAACATGAAGCACACAGATGGACAACAGAACATTTCTCTTACAGGTGATGACTATCAGGGCTCATAACAACAAAACACATTGTTTGGCTCTCTGTAAACGAGTGAAGAGAAGAACAGAAGAAGGCATTAAAAGCTTCTATGTGCCACTAAAGAACAGATGTGTGTGTAGAGACGCCCTAAACAAGCTACTTGTAATCAGACTGCAGGGCTGATAGATTCAACTTCTATTGGTTCTCTGTCCCACCAAACACATCCTCCCTCCTTCATGAGGATACAAGAGCTTCTGAAAGCAAAGCTTCACCATAGAAACCATTTGCATTTTCAACTAGTGTTTGGGAGTTTGAACAGGATGACACTCCCTCACTAGTAAGTTTAAAGAGTTGCCATGTCACAGGCTATGCATTAAGGTTGTGCTGATAGCCGATGCCTTTGCCAAAGTCAACAGGATATAATATGGCTTCATTTTCCAATGATGCATCAAATTATCATTATTAGCATAGCTTTGGCAAATAGAGCAAACTAAATATAGAGGACAAATACACTACCACAGTAATGACATGTAGCTGCCCTGCTCATTGGTTTGTCACTACAATAGTCCAACACACCCACAGAGTTTAAGGGGATAGCTACCACGGTATCTCTGCAGGGTAACACAGTGTACATCGTCATAACCCTAATGTCAGTCTTCCTATTGGCCAGTGCACCAGTTTCAGTGTAAACGAGTCAACAGGAGCGTGTTTGGGGCTGATAAGCGTCCTATCACAGAGCAGCCAGGCGGTCTCTGCTGGGGAGCAGGTGACAGGGTTTACAACAAAACAGGCCCAGCAGCAGAGGATGCTGCCCTGTTCAGCCTGACAATCAGCTGGTGAGTACAGTCAAAAGGTTTGCTTCAACAATCCCTGACACCAGAACAGCATCATCCTCAGCTCAGGGTTAAAAAAAAGAAGGCTAAATTGCTTATCAATATGTTCTCCGCTCCCCAACGGCACACATGCTTGAGAAGTCACAATTAGTCACAGGGAAGGCAGAACAAGCAAAGCATGAAATGACTGTCCCGAGTTCTCAAATGTAATCCTGGGCAGGATGTTGAATGGAGCGAGGAGCACAGCGAGCGGCGCATAGTATATTACTTATATACACACACCATGTAGAGCAGTCAGAGACATGCTGGAGGCTACAGCACATTCGGAGTTCTGCAACAAGCTAGCATTCACAGAGGACGCCTGAGTCCATTCACACCACCTGCTGTTTCTCACACAGCTCGGGCTAAAGAGTTTCCTGTACGGCTTGCATGCGTCACCTACACCGTACCTAGCTAGCTACAGCAATGAACTGCGGCCATTATAAAACCACGTGCAAAGTGCAGATGTGTGACAACGAAAACCCCAGTACAAGCAGTCTGAGCAACGTGTTGGGCCAGACGAGCCTTCAGCTCCAGTGCTCTCCGTCATCGAGTCTCCACATTCGTTCTGCTGCTCCACTCAGACATTCAGTCTGCATGTCTCTACATTACACCGAGCTGCAATAAAACAGCACGGATGTTGTCAATATTTCATATCTGTGGAGTCATGGGTTCCCGTCATGCAAACTTCATCCTTTCAACTTTAAAAAAAAGCTACAACCTGTGGCCTCTGCGGCTAAAATGACAATTCTCAAAAGGCAAGGTTGGAAATCTTCTTCAAAACACTTTTTTGTTGGAATTCTCGTAACATGGCGACAGAAATCAATGAATCAAATCCTGTGAGTACCAACAGAAGCCATGATGGTTGTTTACATTTATAATGATCATTTTGGGGGAGTGGCTTCGGAGGGAGGGGCGGGCCATCAGTATTGCCAACTTGGCCCCTTTCTTGCTAGATTTAGCGACTGTTGGAGTCAGTGCTGCTAGCTCCTCTCATTGCAGAGAGTTGGCAACACTGGGCTGGGTTTGTCTGTTAGATGACTTTTACTCTGGCCAGTTTCTCAAGGATACCAACCCTACTACAAGTTGTGCAAGAGTTCATACACAACACAAGTTATAATTGTCTTTGTGACATCTTTATTTCAGTAGCATGTTGAATATGTTGCCATATAAGTGTAATTGGCAGAGTATTAAAATACATAAGGGTAGTTTCACTTCTTCCACCTTTGGTAATAAACACCAATACAATTCTGCCTTACATGTGGAGGTCCAAATCACATAAACAGAGATTTACTTCACTTACTTTGTCTAAAGCAATTCAACAAAAGAAGCAAAAATATAGCACCTCATCCACACCAACTAATAGACTAACAGTAGAACACAAAGCCTTCCCGTCTCATCTCCGTACAATCAGCTGGTGCTCTGACAAAGAAGTCTTCAATGAACTCTCAAATCTGCCTTTCCTCACAAGCATGTCGACCACTGATCGCCAGTAAAACCTGCATCATCAGCATAGAAACACACACACGCGCACGCACACACACCTCCAGCATGTGACCGCCACAGGAAAATAACCTAGTAAAATGTCAAATCAACAAAAAGCACACAGGAACCAGCCCAGCCCACCACTCCAGCATCGGATTTCATGACAAAGAGGATGTACGCATTCACACCAGCAGGAAGTTATTCCTCAGTATTATTTATGGCAGAGCATTGGGGGATCTAGACCAGGACACGCATCTGATTGGTCAAACGTGGGGCTGCAATGCATTACTATACTGGATGATTATATTGCTCTATCAGGAATGGAGTCTTGTCAATTATATCACATTATAGACTTCACGTACATACAACCAGTGTACCAAGACATTTAGTAAAAATCTGAATATATAAAAATACACAGTGAGGCAGGATGAGCAGAGTTCAGTGTCTCATATTAGTTATAATATTTTATCAGATCATTCTTCACCAGCAAGACCTGTAACATCTCTCCCATGCGGGAAACGCTGACTCGTCTTCAATAGAAATACAACACTGGACACACCTGGGGACGGTGAATACTGGGACACATGTTGACACACTCGGACCAGTAGACCTGTAAAGCCCAGTCATGGACCTGTCCGACCTGCCGGGTCGTTGTGTGGAGGTCGCCTGGCTACAACCCTCACATTAACAGTTCATTCATTCACAAGTCAGCTGTGCAACGCCAGCGAAAGCGCATCTCATCCAGAAATCCCACGCACAGCAGATCACACCAGATCATTCTTCCGTCCACTTGTCAGTGGGAGACGGATTTTGTTTAAAAAAAACAAAAACATCGCAAATTAGCTAGCTAGCTGAACACCACGGCCCGGTGGACCTACAGCTGTGGGCTAGTTAGCCTATTAGCTCATCTATTTAGCGGTAGCGTGCACTGTGACAGCAGCCAGAGCGTGCTGAGCTGCGGATGATAATCCCGACATAATCCCATTAACTGTCGCCTGGTGAGGCGATTAGTGTAAACCTCCGTTAACTAACCTATTCCAGGAGCCACATAGATGAAGTAGAGACAAGTGGTGGACATGGAGAAGAAGAAGATGAAGGCCAGGAACGATCGGTTGGACATTCGCAGCAGCCGCCTCCAGTTCACCATTTTGGCTTAGGCCTGCTTCTCCTTCGCCGATATGAATCCCATAAAATACTTTTTGGAGTTTAAAAAAGTCCTCGAATTGATAGACGACAGTGTCACAGGTGTGGGCATGGAACAAATGTGCACCGTCAAAGCCCAGAGATGCAGCGCGGAGAAGGCGAACGCTGGCGGTGCTAGCTGGCCTGCTTTCCCCTGCCAAGAAATTTCCAGATGGAAAAAGCAGGCCTGTAACGTTAATATCAGGCAACTGCGAGCCTCGTGGAGCACCACCGGTCGGGCATGCTGGAACCGCTATTCTACGGTAGTCGGGAGTTCAGCGGCAATACTAGTTAAGTAGACTCATGGTAGTCTTCCATGCTCACGGTGTCGCCAGCGCAGCTCTGATCGCTAGCACTGAAGGTTGGTCATTGAGAGGGGGCAGCACCGCTCTGCCTGCACCCACACAGGCTACTGTCGACCGGTGCGATGTTTCCAACACGGTCGGCGCACTACTTCGTCAGACGGCGAACACGGTCCATTTCCAGTCATGCCACCGGGAGTCGGCACGCTGCTTCCGCACGATTGTGGCATTCAAACGGCATAAGTGCAGGGAAATATGCGCTAGATAAAGTCAATAAAAGAGAGGGCAGGTCTGCCTCCTTCTCATTTTACTGCTGGCACTGCAGAGACCGTTTCCGGTGGGCGGAACGACCCTCCTCTCCGCGTCGCCATGGAAACTTGTGTCGGAGTGTCTTCCCTCTCCTCCCAACCAAAAGTGTAACATTTCAGCTAAAACTTAAAATTAGAGCGGTCAAACTGACATATACAATTAAATAGAGTATTATTATTATTAATACTAGAGTATTATTGATTTACTTACTTTACTGGGGCAGAAAACAGACCCCACCAATGGCAGGGAACAGTTAGGCAGTAAACGTTTTCAAGTGGTCCCTTTAGACACATCTTAACATTTGGTTTGCAAGCATTATAACATATTTTACAGTCACAGATGCTCACAGGGGAGCCACAACCTCAACTACAGAGGTGCCTGCTGATATAAAACCAAAAGCCATGACTGAATTTCATGAATTCTATGCTGCTTTAGTGCAGCCTCTACGCTACCTTGGCTGAACTGTCAGTATGAGAGACCAGGAATCACACACTGATATGTTGGTTTATTCCTTTACAGTTCATGTTGCTAATTAGATTAATACCGTACACTTAACATTTTGAGTTCCACAACGATCCTGTTTTATTGTGTTAGCTGATTCATTGTCCTTCACATCGCTAGTTGGCCATTTCCTTAAAAAGACAAACATCCAGCTTTAATTTGAAGGAGTACATCAATTGTAAGGAACAAAACAATTACTGGGAACAAGCTTACTCAAGTAGATGTAGACATGTACATGCGGTTCATTCACGTGTCCGTTTCTGCGTAATTTTACATACAGACATGGAATGTTTACTTTTTTCCCTCGCTGAGTCAAAACCATCTCTCGGGAGTTGAATTTGAGTTGTCTACAGATTTGTGAGATGTGCGTTCCAGCTTCCATTGCAGCTGCCTCGGAACCCAGAAACAGACCTTTGCACTCACTGCCCTATCAGGAGGCAGCAATCAGAGGCTGCGGTCGAATGATTTTTAAGAATCACACTTGTCTTTTCCTAACAACTTTTCCTTGAACTCAATGGAAAACGTCACATGGTCAAGGAGAGATGTGAAGGAGGAGTCATAAGAACTCGTGCTAAGAGAATCCCACTGCACTTATGCAGATGGCTGTTTTTTGTTTGTTTTTTTAGCAACTTTATTCGAACACATATAGCTACAATGAGTAGGCTACAATGACAGACTCAATGCTGTACAGTTACAGTCAGGATTCCTGTCCAAACAGAACCTCTTAAGTCCTCAATAGTGTAAAGTTAAACAGTGACGGTGGATGTTATTCACGGCCAAATGGTGCGTCGCTTTAAATGTTGCTGCTGCAAGGAATAGTGGGACGGCATTATCTCCTTTCATATCGTAAAAGATGGCCCAGTGTACCCTATGTTACAGGAGATAAGGAATGATTCACTGAAGCACCTCTCCTTAGCATTTAGAGAAGCCGGCCAGCTCTTATCATGGCTGCAACTCCAGTTGGGAACCTTCCTCAGCAAAAAATACTTTTTTTTCAGCCACAATATATAAAACACCAGCCTGGTAATGAAGGAACACGTCACCCAGTGAGTCGCTGAGTCACACTGATGGTGTTTTTAATAGAGCTCTACGGCACAGAGCAAGAAGAGACATCAGGCTGTAATTCACACACAATACTTGTTAGCAGATACAGTTACTGTTGCTTATGGATCAGCACATGGGATTTATTGATAAGAAGAAGGAAAAGAAGAGGTGATCTCTAGCCTTCACGGTGTGGTGTGGATCACTGGTGTGCATCCATGGCCACGGCTGTGGTGGTGTAGGAATACGGACTGAGCAACAGGGCCAAGGTGTAGTGACGATGGCCTTCAGCGTGGGCCTCGAACACCACCTGCACACACACACAATCACACACAATCACATGGGTCAGAACATCCAGCACACACACAACGCCACAGGAACAATGACCTATACAGTGGAGGGTAAAGTCATGAGAAAAACTAATGCTACTCATTTAACCTTCAAAGTCATGCTTTCCATGTTTGACAACACCCACCTCAAAATGCATCCATGTCTGAAGCTTTACAGATCAATATGTTTCAAACTTAGTGGTGCAGCACATGCTAACAAGTAAAGCAGACAGCCTTAGTTTGTCTGCCACAAACTGAATGCGGATAATGTGACGTATGAATCACAGTGAATGAAGGAGAGAGAAGCTACTAGATGACGATAACAGAGGACTTTTGGCCACTCTGTTCTGGGAACTGTTAACCCACACTGCAGATAAACAGCAGAATAGCAAACATGCTTGAATACGCAAATGTAAATACTTCTGCTTTTCTGACTACAGCACAGACCTGATGTGCTGCTTACAGATATTATCAGATAACAGAAGATGAGCCATTACTCCACACAGGTTATACGGTATGGTGGAGGTGAGAGAGGAGGCGGGGCTTTGAACTTCTCCCTCTGCTGTATTTTCTGTCACTGTATGTATGAGCAATCAAGTGCAACACTATGTCTTTCAGGAGAGACTCTGACGCACGCCTTTCCACTCCATCTTCCTGTTCATTTATTCATCCTTTATTTAACCAGAAAGGTCCCAATGAGATACAATATCTCCTCCGCTAAAGAGTCCAAGATGGGCATCAAGTAAAAAGTTTCATATACGGGTACAAACAGGGACAGATAACATGACGATGAAAACATACAGGAACAACACCGTTCACATGTACAGAGAGAGGGTAGAGGTTATAAGTTATTGCATGCCTTGGAGCTCGTTCCAAGCTTGCAGGACGTGAAAGCAAAAGGCAGATTCACCGTGCGGTCTGTTCAGGCATTATTATTAAAAGTAATATCTTGGTAAAATGGATATGTAATGCTGTAATTGACCCAGTGACGCTTTTGCAACAAAAATGAACAACTGGTTTTGTCTCTGTTAACACAGTGAAGTCCATTTCATAATATTCAATGATGTGTTTGGAAGCTTGCACCAGTTACAAACCACAAAGTCAGCATGATAGAATACATGCAGTTTTTCTAAAGATATTAAGATGCATGCATTAGAATGACGTCATCATAGTTTAATACTGGCAACAAGGTACTTTGGACTATTCTGTTTCTAGCAGCCTCCAGTTGGGAACCTCTCTCATACTGACAGTTCAGCCAAGGTAGCCTAGAGGCTGCACTAAAGCAGCATAGAATTCATGAAGTTCAGTCATGGCTTTTGGTTTTGGTGTGTCACCCCAAGATGGCACCATCTTTTCACCCCTCTGACAAATATCAGCAGGCACCTCTGTAGTTGAGGTTGTGGCTCCCCTGTGAGCATCTGTGACTGTAAAATATGTTATAATGCTTGCAAACCAAATGTTAAGATGTGTCTAAAGGGACCACTTGAAAACGTTTACTGCCTAACTGTTCCCTGCCATTGGTGGGGTCTGTTTTCTGCCCCAGTAAAGTAAGTAAATCAATAATACTCTAGTATTAATAATAATAATACTCTATTTAATTGTATATGTCAGTTTGACTGCTCTAATTTTAAGTTTTAGCTGAAATGTTGCACTTTTGGTTGGGAGGAGAGGGAAGACACTCCGACACAAGTTTCCATGGCGACGCGGAGAGGAGGGTCGTTCCGCCCACTGGAAACGGTCTCTGCAGTGCCAGCTAGGTAAAAAAAAAAGAATCTACACCAAGCAAAACCCTAAAAATGTCATAACTTCTCTTACATATGTTTCAACCTGAACTCTTACTAAACACTAAGATCTGCTTGCTAGCTTTCTGTTTGACAAAAGTCACGCTGGCCCACTGACCAATCACGGCGCACGTTAATGCAGACGTACTTAGAAGGCTACCTCAGTGCTACTGGCACGTCAAAGAATACGCCCAACATGTCAAACTAAAGATCTGATTGGTTGAAGACTATGACAATCAACAATATCGTCCCCATTCACTTAAACTGCAAAGGCTCTCTAGCGGGCATCGGGCCTCTCTCCTTACATAGAGACATAGGGGCTGAATCTGATTGGATAAAAGCTCTCCTTAAAACAAGCTGCACTGGAAGCAGAGCAACAGAGGAAGACAGGAGCTGTGCAATGAGAAAATAAGATTATGGGAAAAATAATTATAATACATGTAGTGTATTTCTGAAAAATTATTAAATGATAAAATAGCTATAACTTTGTGATTGTGTTTAGGCCAGCAGAGAAGGCCTAGATGGTCCTGACAGCCCCCCACTGGCCCATTCACACCCATTCATACACTGATGACAGGACTACAATGCAAGGTGCCAACTGCCCATCAGGACTCTAACTAACATTCATACACCATTCACACATCAGCACAATTACAGGAGCAATTTGGTGTTAAGAGTCTTGCCCAAGGACCCATTGACATGGACTAGCAGAGCCAGGGATCAAACCACCGATCCTCTGATTGAAGGACGACCCTGCTCTACCACTGAGCCACAGTCGCCCAACAAGTCCACGTTGATTTATTTGTCACCTAACTTCTGTACTTAAGTAATCCCACTCCTGTAATTATTTCAACCCAAAACAGGATATTTTTTTGAAAACTTAAGTAAGTAGTTTTTTTGTCTAAAAAAGCGGAAGTGTATTTTGAAAAAAATGTATGCACGTAAGGAGCAGAAATTGGAGTTGTATTGACTGGTTCATACTCACATCAGCTACTTCATGGAATGGTGTGCTCCCCTCATTCTTCCAGTAGGTTTTGGTATCAAAGTCAACTCGATACACGCCCGCTGGGAACTGCTGCTCTGTGAGGAGATCATGGACCTCTCCAGCGGCATCTGTCACTCTGCAGTGAGAAACAGGGACATCTGTCTGCATGGTTTGTACTTATTAAACGCATCATGAGAAGAGATATGAGCTCTGATTCATACTGTGCATACCCAGTAGCGATCTGTGTCCATCCCCCGTCAGCAGTCCTCTGAAACACTTTGAGTGGCACGGATCCGGCTGGAGTCCCTTTCACGGCATCCAGGACTTTCACCATCAGAGGACTCTTGGTGTCTGAACCCCCATGTTTGTCCTGCAGCACAGACACAAGCCAGGGCGATACCTCATTCTCTGTTCCTCTTCGTCACACATCCACATGCTATTACCAGGGCTGGTTCAATGTATATTCATATATATATTCATATATGACTGTGATGTAGTGCTCCCGTACATTGGACTTTAAAGTTACCTCAAGGTAACACCAAGGTTACCTCTACTTTCATTTTGTGTTGATTTTGGCGCTCCCTGTGGACAGTTCTTTGGAGCACCAGAGTCTCTTCAGAAAACCTCTAATTGTACTGCAGGGTCTGACAGTCTGCCCCGTTCAGTCCACAGTTGAGAACTACCTACCTTTGCAAATGTGCACCATATTTTTCTCGCAAGCCAGTCAGAGCAGACTGGGCTTTTTCTGGAGTGGGGCTCGAGCCAGAAGCAGACTACACAGCTTTCAAAGTGGTCAGATTGCTGTACTGTTCACGTGACACAATTTGCTATATTGTAATCAGGAGTCTTGAAGTTGTTGTGTTTTTCACTCTACATGACTGAGGTGACAGGGGTCACACACTACAGGATCCTTTATCTGGAATCCACAATGAGGTCTCCAAACTATGTTTTATCAGGAAAACACGTGAGAAGTGACATGGGCGCAGCCATGCCTGTTGATGTTGTCATTGGTACGCATGTTCGCATAATAAGCTTTACTATTTATCCTGTGTAGATCACTAACTGTTTTATGAGGGTGTTGGACGTTCATGCAAACATCCAACACCCTCGGTGCAACAACAACGATAACATTATCATATTTTTTCAGTTTAGCTAGTTTGTGCTTTGCGTCACTTGTCGATGTCGACAAGTGTGTTAGGTTATTAGCAAGTATGAAAACGAAATCATTGATATCAATAAAAGTATTAATATCAATACGATTAATATAAACATATATTAACAAACACTGGGCACCACCATGGGATCAGTGACCAATAACCAAATTGTAGATAAAGCCTCAAAATGTCAATAGTCAAAGTACTATTCCACATTCAGAGTGAACAGTGAAGGTTTGAATTTCAGCACAGGCTATATGATATCCAGCTATTATCATAACACATCTGCACAATTAATCACAAAAACGGCTGCTTAAAATACAACAGTTTATGTACTTAACATTACTGATTAAAACCAATAATAATAATTAAAAGAAACATATATTATAAAACTACAAGCATACTACCTAAAAGCAACAAACAATCACGTGGTGAGGAGTGTGTGTGGGCATGTGTGTGTGTGTGTGTGTGTTTGAGGGTGTGTGTGAAAAAGAAGGAGGGAAGACAAAATGGTGGACATAGAAGTGACTATGCCATGTGAGACGTAGTCACTGGGGGAGGAGAGTGGAAAAAGAGAGGGGGGAGCAAGAAGGCGGACATATTCACATAAAGTAATCACGTCATGAAATACTCCACAATGGCGACGAGGGAATAAAACACACAATAGAGGCCGCTCTTACACGATGTGTCCATGTGTGTATGAAATAAGCGCCTCTATCCAGGGACCAGAGTTACACTGGTTGGGCGAAGTACGCGGCAAACAAATCCTCCGTACGAAAGCAATGATTTTGACATCGGAAGTTAGGCGGAATTTTTCCTTCTATGACCGGCAAATGTTGACCTGAATAGAAAGAGAGCGGGGTGTAGATGTTTTCTTTTTGTTTCTCTTCCTCTGAAGAATATGGGGATTCCATCAATCTTCCTTCTGCAGGTAAAATGGCAGAGCACAGGGCAAGTAACGGTTTTCTCCTTCGGGATACAAAAGCAGTCTTCTGTTTGTCCAGCACAGTTAAGATGTCGGCGACTGTGGCTAAGTGGATAGCAGGGCCGTCTTTCAATCAGAGGGTTGGCGGTTCAATTCCCACATGTCGATGTGTCCTTGAGCAAGACACTTAACCTCTTCTCACTCCTGCATAATTTGCCTAAAACGCCTATCAACCGCGTACCCAAAGTAAACTGACAGCTCTTATTGAACCATTGGGAGTACGTGTATGGTTTTAGTCTTTATTGAACGGCAACACTCTGAAGTTTCTTCACAATCAGTCAGAATCACCGTAAGTGCTACTAGCATTGAGCTAATGCGTTTTCAGCACAGTGAAAGAGAAGCATTTTATTTCCGCCTAGATTTGTTTTGGCCAACAGATGGCAGCAGCTATCTATGGCTGGGACTTACAGGCTTGAAAAGACTCTCCTTCGACAGCCAACAGTCATGACACCTAGTATAAGTTAAAATTTGATAACAACACGAAAAAAAATTAATATTTTACACGTGGCTTACTAAGAGCGCAGCCGCGTAAAAACTCATTTGGAGGTTCGTGTTACCACGTCTAAATGCATGTACTACGATAAACTACCTGGCCGAAATTCAAACTATAGTTTATTTATGTCAATGTATGGTTAACTACATCATATTTAGCCATTATCAACTTTCACAGATTCATGAAAATTCTCATGAACCAGACTTTAGTCTTCACACTCTGTCCCAGGAACTTGACTCATGGTTTCCAGTTCAGGTTAGAAAACTTTCCCAGCATTCAATCTGATAAATCTGCATATCCCTGGCTTTGTAATTTCATTGGCTATGTGGAGCCTGAGTTTGAACAGGATCTGTTGCGATTGGCTCGAGCTATACCCAAAGAAGTGAGGCGGGCATTGTCTTTCAAAGCGGACTCTCGTTGGCTGTTCCAGACTGTGGCCGGGCTATAGAAGCTCCTATTGGGTCAAATGAGGTGTCAATCTAACCGGCGGAATGCAGCCTCCATTTTGTGATGAAAATCTCAGCTCTGTTGACAGGGAACGTGAAGTTATGCCCGAAATATGATCGGAGTTATCATATCTGCTGGCTAATTTGAAATGATGCAACAGCCCCCCGTGGGTCTTAATGAACGTACTAATGTGTTTTGGACTAAATCTTTTACTGGATTCGATCGAGTGGACCCTTAGCCACCTAGCAAGACCGTTTTTGCTGGACTAGCATGCACAAGGGGGACGTTATGGATCATAATCGGTGAGTCACAGCGATATTTTATCAGCTATTTTTGGAGTGCTTGTTTGACAGAGACGTTAACTGTACCTGCTGTTGTTATTGTATCTTGAAATGGTTTGCATAAATCGAATTACAAGAACCGTAGCTTTCTAATGAGATATCACATTAATACTCATGTTACAGGGCAGTTGTGTGCATAACACAAATATGGAGGATTGCTCCCGTAGCTGTGCCTACGGTGTAGAAATGTGATAGAATCTGAATTGTAAGTCGCTTTGGATAAAAGCGTCTGCTAAATGACTGTAATGTAATGTAAGACTCTCACTTAGGGTTTTGATTTAAGAGCTCATCTCCTTTGAGCAACACACAGCCGGCACAGAGTCAAGGTGAGCACTGGTTTGTATAGCCTTGGTAACGTCATGGCCGTGTCCCAGGGACTTCCTGTGGTTCACTTGGCTCTCATCTAATGAGGCACCAGTAAACTGGTTTGACCCAAATCTCACACATAGGAAAGATTTTGACACCCGATGGTGGTAGGTGCAATTAAACCAGCCCCAGGTAGGCATGTTTCCTTTGTTTCAGCCAAATAGTGAAGTCCCAACAATGTGGACTGACTCAAATATTTCTCCATGCTCTAGTCCAGGCTAATAAGCCCAGCTGAGCAGCAGGAACAGTAGGTTACACACTGAATGAAGTGACTGATTCATGTGATGTGTCACCACCCACGTCAGCTTCGGGCCAATAGAAACTCTAATATGTTTGATTTATTGGCGCAATTGGTCCCCATCTTGAAGTATGAACTTTGTAATGATAGGCTACAGCACAATTTTAAAATGTATAGCAAATAGTTTCCTATAGTCTATACTACATCAGCATAATATCAGTTATTGGTTTTGGTGCGCCAGGCCAAGATTTCAAGGCCACCTCTATGAAAAGCTTCTGTGGGCGCTGCTGAGTTGGAGCCTTCTCATACACATTCAGTCCAAGCGTCTTTGGTTCATCAATACTCAATAAATATTACATTTGAAGCAAAAGCATTCAGCTTCAGGTTGTGCTCTTTAAATTCCATTTCATCTATTCAGCATTGTTTATTTGGGTCAGTGAGTTGAGTGAACACAATCGTTCTACAGAGCTGTTATCTCTTGTGTTTACAGTGCAGTGGGAGATGAACAGAGCAGCATGTACATTACGAGACTGAACCAGGTGCAGGCAGGTCACTGAACCGATTCCTGCTCCACAGATTCATTTGGTCTACTGGCCTGCACTGTGTGTTCATCACAGTTTCTCTTTTAGTAGTTAGTTCAGTCAGTAATACTCATTGTGTTAGTGTTGGTACCAGCCGAGACAGCGTATTATTATGATAAAACCTGGTCCTGGTGTCACCTACTGTTGCAGGAACTACCACAGAAGAAGTTCTGTATATGTTGCCAGGTGTTTATATGTTTATTTTTTTCACCGTGACCACAACTTTACAAGAAGCAGTCACCAAACTTCACAGGTGTGTTCAGATCAAATTGAAAGGCAGAATTTGAAGATGTGTGTGGTCTGAGAAAGGGTCCCAGAAGTAGGAGGGTAGGAACTTGACGCCAATGGTCCGATTTGGCACAAGTGTGATCCCATCACAAGATGTTCTCTAGTTAAAATTGTAGTCATTTGTTACCCGTGGTGTGTTCTTATACATCGTATTTAGAAACTCTGGGTCCACTCTAATCTTCAGAATAAGGAGGTATAGCTGAGGAACAATGGGGTGAAATATGAAATACCAACACACTTTTAATGGAGCTCTAGTTTCCTTACTTACGTGTGTTATGATGATCAAGCCTTGTCTAATATTCCTACAGGAACCTGGGGAGTATGTGTGGGAGGGATCAGGACTTTACAGTGACCCTCAAAGAGGATCATGTCAAATCAGGAGTTGAAATTTGTCTATCTGATGAAAACATTATTTTACAATAATTACGCTTAAATACTCAACATGTTGTCGGAAGATAATACGTTTTTCTTGCACCTCATACTAAAACCCACAAACTGTGGCATCAGCTTCTCTTATTTGAGTTCTGTTGGCAGAATTAGACCGATTTACAATGATAACAAATATTCAAAATCTATTCAGACTGAATATGAGACCTACACTCTGTTCGGCAAGAACGGCATTTTCTTAAAATGAACTGACGTATTTGCATTTCTAATCATTAATTACCCCATTATTGGACACAGACACACTGACCGTGGGGGTGGGCAGGGTGTTGCAGAGCAGCACAGCGGAGGCCAGGAGCAGAAAGCGCAGCGGTTGAAGCATCATCGACTGGTGACAGACGGACAGACGGACACACAGAAATCACTGGTGCTCACACTTCACCTGCTGTCTCAGGCCTTTTATAATGCAGCTGTCCCCCCCCACACACACACACACACCTTCTTACCCACTCTGCTGCCAGCTCTGTGGACCACGTCAATACCTGGACAATGAATAACTCAGACCAAATCTGTTTAATATCCCCTGTTTTTAAAAATAAATCTACGTGACATTTCTGTAAAATCATAATCTGAAAAGTATCAGTACAATGTGGTGGAGTAGAAGTATAAGGTAACATAAACTGGAAATACTTAAACAAAAGTTGGATACTTGAGTGGATGTGGTGAGCTGTTTACTGTTGGGACAGAGTTTTTCTTTGCAATACTTTAACCAACCCACCAGAAGGTGGTGTGACAACCCCAGGAACCGCTCGCACTGACTCCTCCTATACACCAACTCTGACCTTGGTGAGCATTTGTATAAGATAAGAAGAATACATTTGTTGATTCAGAGTTTAAAGAAGTTTGTTCTGGCTCTACATGTCCCATGATGTCATCTGCAAACATTGCAGGAGTACATACCAGGTAGAATACCCTGTGTGTACTCTGTAGCACTGTGGTCGCTTAACTTGCTGCACTCAAATGTAAAATGGAGTCACAGTCTTCCTGCTGTTGTTCACTTTACACAAATGTACAGTTTGTTTGTATTCTGATATGTGAGTAGATGCACTGGACTGGAACAATCTTCCACAGATGTCTGTGAGAACATTCTGAAGGAATATTAAGTAAACAGCAGGGTGATGTACAAAGTAATTCAGTGTGTTGTTGCTGCTTTGAAAGAGACATGTCACACGGCTCAAAAAGATTAAACACAAGTGAATATATGATATGAATATGTGTTCACAGAATACACAGGTTTTGTGTTATCGTGGTTGTATAAATATAAATCATGGTGCTGCTAGATTTCTGCTAGACCGCTGTGACAGGCGTGTGCCAGGCTTGTCACAGGCGTGTGCCTGCAGGAGACCTACACAGTGAAAATGTTGTCTTTGAAAGTCCAAACAACAACACATATGGATTGAAGCAGAATATGTTGTTGGATAAAAACATGATGTGAATTTATTAAATGATCTTTTGGACTTTACAACGCTGAGAGAAACGACCCTTAGCAGCCGCCACTGGGATCTAATTCTATAATAGTATATAATAATAATAGTATATAATAATAATAATAGTATAGTAAAACTATCAGTGAAGCCTGATTTTAAACTGGAATGTTGCTTTGAGCTATTTAGTACAGCTCTATAGAAAGTAAGCTGCTTACCGCTTTGAATTATGTTTTTATATTAATTTCAGTCAGGAACACTCTTGTCATAGATTTTGAACCATTTATTGCAACAAAGGGAAATACAGTTAAACGTGGCGCTGACGGCTCCGCTCTCTAAATGCTCCCTGGATTTAGCCAAGCAGCTACTAAACCAAAGCATGGAGCACCATGCATAACTACCATAACTATAACTATAGTGCATGCTGCAGCCTGTTACGTCTGCTCTGCTCTAGTGTCGTACACTTTTCTTTTGCTTATATGTGTATTGGTTTTGTCTATACGTTTCTGTGTTTATCTATGAATTTTGATTCCATTTTTATTTGAAATGTTGTCATTTTAGGCCTTCAAACATCTGGCCGGGGACAGCAGACGAACACGAGCCTCTCTGGCTCACTCACAGTTTCACTGATTGGTGTGCATTGTCCCCGCAAAATAAACAAATAAAATAATAAAATAATGAGCCTGAAGTAAACTTTGAATACATTTCAACCATTTGCTATGCAAGATGAACTCTGAACTAAAAAGGGTGGAAGAGGCAAAGCTGTGCCAGCAGTACGGTCTGTAACAGCATAGGTGTAGAAAGGATCAGTGAGGAGGGAGTCCTATTTAAATCAACCTCCTTGAGGTGAGAGTGGGCTGTGATTGGTGTGTGGCCATTAGAAGCATGATTCAATCAGCTGGCGGTCAGCTGGTTACAGCTGGAGGCCTATGACCTCCATGTCCTGCATGAACTAACGCGACGCTTTATTTCTTATGTGCCCCCAAGTCTGTTTCACACCGCCGGGGTTGCAGCTGAAAGAATAAGGCTAAGGTATTGTCATACACGCCATGAAAATACATCTACGCATCACATTAACTGAACAGAATACTCATGTAATTATAGTCAGATCTTGTGCTCTACATGGGCAGTGATATTATAAGCCTGTTAATATACACATCGACACAATCTGTGATGTTTTGCCAGCTGTTATAATTCCAAACTGTGTTGCTTTTAGTCTTTATTTTGACTCTGGATTATAACTTTAACTTTTTGTGTAATATCATGTAATGATCCACGTACAAAGCTTTAATTGGTCAGTAGGCAGTGCTTTTATATGGGTTGATCTCTTATCTCCAACATAACCTGCTGCCGGAGCATGTTAGGTGTGCAGCACGAGTTACCATGCCGATCTCCCCCAGTAAGAAGAAAACCACTAACCCCCAATCCTGCTCCGTGGGACAGGCCCTGGGAGAGTGTGTGAGCAGTACGACAGGTTTGACAGGGGTGTCCTCCTCACATCGCTGCTGCTGCTGCACGCTATTGCAGAAGAGTTAATCATTGATGTGAACAGATCAGCAGTTAACAGGAGGGGATTTCTGTTGGAATGTTCTTGACATCATGCCAAAGTGTTTTAATGCACCTGTGCTAATGCAGGTGTTGACACTGATTGACGCTGCAGTGTAAACGGTCACATCTCGCTTTCCAACAGACACGATTCCTTTTGACATGAGAACAAGACGTCTCAGATATTCTCAACATTCAATCTAAGCAGAGAGACAAAGCCGCACTTCTGTCAATGACTTATTCATTAGTTTCTAGTGAAATGCAACATGCAGCTCAAACTGCACAACACAAATGTGTAAAGATCCTTCTTCTTCTTCTCATTACTATATTATTATCTACTATTATAAGATTGATTGCAGTAAAGATGTTGACAGTAGACACGGGGAAGGAAAGGACTGTTGTTACTTTGGAAGTTTTAAGTTGTCTGTGATCTGAGTGCTTTGAGATATTGAGCTTCAATGTTTTTACAAACGTTTTACTTTGAACTGACGTGCAGTAAAGTTCTCTTGTATTGGTCATTATAAGAAGCACCCCACTCTAGATATATGATATTCATAAGTGATATATATAATTATACAATCACATATTTTATTGGGGTGTTGCAGAAGGGCGTGCCTTTACTCACAGTGACACACATTCACACCTTGAAGCTGCCCAGTACAAGCACTCAGTCTGCTCTGCTGCTGATAGAACTTTCTGATCACTTTTCATTCTGGGCTATATTCCTATTAAGACATGACAGAAAGCAGTGATGTCTACTGCATTGGGCCGTCACATCTCAAGTTGCTGGAGGGTTCGGTAAGGGGGGCCAGACGCCAGACGATTTGTCTGGTTCCCAGGTCAGCATTAGTGGGGCATTGGACTCATCATCTCAGGATTTCTTAAATCCTAGCCCTGCTTTAATGGAAAACACATTTATTTTATCACCTGCACTGGCTGATCTTATAATTAGTACATGCCTAATTAAGTAGATCAGATTACATGTACATATGTCCACCCATTTTCACACTTTTAAACTTTAAACAAACACAAGAGACAGCTGAAACCAAGACAACGTTGAAGTATTTTACTGCAACAGTCGTAGGTCATGTGAGTCGCAAGTCAATGAAGTTAATGTCAACCACGATCTCTTCCTAACCCTAACTAATGAACCCTAACTTCCTGTGAAGATGTAAGTTTATTTTGAAAAGACACGTCCAAAACTGATGCCAGAGGGGAACGTAGAGCATCATAGTTTGAGGATTACGGGCTCTGACCAAGCATTGGGAGTGACGATGTGTTGTTCAGGAATCTCTTTCATCAAAATGCCTTCTGTACAACTCGAAGAGCACTCGGAGAGAGCAGACCTCTGCCAAGGCCAATAAGTGAAAATGTATTTGTGTATAGGTTCCTCCTTGTCCCATGCTACACCCCTCCACTCAGGGTTATGAAAGTCTGGCCTGTATTTTTTCCGTAATCCTGCTGAGAAACATCCAGGATACAGTAGCGTTCAACCCTGAGAGCACACTTCTAAGAAGCCATGTATGCCTCCGCCAATAAGTTTACATCCATGTCCAAAACATTTTCACTTACATCATTTTATCCTATTAGACATTTGTGTCAAATTGACAAAATTACCATAAGATTCTTGAGTTATGACCAAAATGTGTTTGTGAGGTTAAAGTTAACTTTGACCACCGAAATCTTATCAGTTCATCCTTGAGTCCAAGTGTACATTTGTGTGGACGAAGAGACATAAAGTAGACAACCTGAAATCATCATGCTTATCGCCGGTGCTGAAGCATAATAAAACTAATACAGCACACGGAACAAAGAGCACAGTTACTGTACACAACACACATCATACTGTGCATCAAAGTGACTGATTTAAATGAAATGATGACAGATTCAGCGTTCCCAAATTGTATTTTAATACAAAAATCGATTTTTTTACGAGTAATGTTAATTGTTTCCAGACAAGAAGATGAATTCACCAAACTACTCCTGTAACACACTTACTCCCACAAACAGGTGCAGACAAATACGTTCACAGATCTAGCATAGTTTCTCCAGCGTATGTTTCAACCAGTTAAACATGTTCTGTCTGTTATTTACACTTCAGCTGAAAGAAAATAAGAAGAGATGCCTAAAACACCGACATGGTTATAAGGTAAGGATGAAATTAAAGATAATGAAAGATACATTATGCAAGATATGTAAGGTTCAATATGCAAGTAATTGTAAACAAAAGGGTTGACCCACCACCTAATTCTAAACACAGGTTTGGAACTTGACAGGTTTTTTATTACAGACACCAGCTCTAATGAATTTATTAATGTTTTCTGATCATGTAAAAGCTTTTCCCATCAGTGATGTTTGAAATCAAAACTATAAAATTTAATATTCAATTATTACGAATTGACAAACACTCAAAACAGATTTTTCAATTAGTAAAGTCTTCAATGATATATGACAATTTACTGTCTTCCACTCAGCACTTATTGTATTCGTATTAGTTTGTTTCTGTATGTTGGCTCTGGTTTATGCTCTTAGATGCTTGTATAAAGGAGATGCACTTATGACTTCTGGTGACCAGTAGTTCTCTTGAATACCGATGTTGAATTCACTTATTGTAAGTCGCTTTGGATAAAAGTGTCTGCTAAATGACTGTAATGTAATGTAATGTACTGTGAAATTAAAGTGTTTAATCCCAAACTTCTGATTGGGCCTTCAAAGTGCAGCCATGCACATGTTGAAAGCAGAAGTAACACATTCATTCACTTGCAAGTCAAAAGTTGAAATCATGAGATATTATAAAATCTCTCGTTTCTCGGTAGAACACACAGGGATCATCAGTTATGGTGACTAAAGCAGCTATTGTCAGCATACCTTAGATAGACAGTGCTGTGTAAAGGACATCCCTGAGTCACCTCACTGACTTTAGGTCTCTTCTACTTGTGCTACTTGTGCTACTGTGTGCCATGTTTTAGCATTGACCCTTTTCCTCTAATTATTACTTGTTGCCAAAGTGGCTCGCTTTTCAGAAAATGTTCCGTAGACTTGTTTAATGTGAAAATATAAACACGCTCACTAACAAAGACTCTGTGGAATGAGCTTGACCAACACAATGACATTCTGATTTTGTCTCTGTTGGTAAATTTCTCTGTCTTTATCTACTTGTTATCCTGTGGAATAAAGTACGAGTAGACAAGAAAGCTCATCTTCGCAGACTGTGCCACTTCAAAAGTCAGGAAATTTCAACAGAGAATGTACTTTTTGCGCAAATTTAACTTTTAATGCAAACTGTCGGATATTACAAATACTTGATACGTCGGTGTTAAGTCTTTGTCTTATCTTTGTGCTTGGTAAAATGAGCAAACAGCACCAAGCCAGGCTGCAACAACAAATCAGGACAGTGGGAAAGATCATAGACATTGACCCTAAAATCACAAGCCTGTAAACCAAACTCAAAAACTAGAAAAGAATGACAGGACAGCACCCATCCCCTTCACTCAAACTTGAGTCACAGCAGAAACCTGAGCTGCTGAAAGACACTTCTAGAAAATAAAATCCAAATAAGTAGACAGAAGAACTCTTGTAGCCATCAGCTTGTATAACATGCAGCTTAATGCTCTAAATGTCATATATTGCTCCTTTAATAAAGCATCAAACAACTATTTCACTTTTGCCCTTTTATATACATATTTATTTTACTGTTGTGCATTGACTTTTAATTTGACTTTCTTGTTGTCTCAATATGATGAACGTGTTTTATTATGATTATGTTCTGGTCTTATTGTGTATGTTATTTTAGCGTCTTCACTGTGGACTTTATGGCGTTTAATGTCATGTCTGGAACTCATGACCAAACCAATTTCTGGGGCTGTTTGACATAAAAGTCATGGTCAACTAGCATCAACATAAACTATGTCTGGGAATTGAAGTTCAGAAGTTAACTTCTTTGTGCTATGTGGAGTGTTCAGTATGCTTAGTTGGGACGCAAACCGGCTGCAGATTCAAGGTAGGTTAGCTGGGATGTGCCAACCCGACGAGATAATGTGTCAAAACACACATCAGCATTGGGAATTACCACAGAGTAGAATCCTGATGCATTGACTTCAATCATTGCTGGTTGGTGCGGTTCAATCTGTCTAGGTCACGATGTCAAGACACCGCTGGTGTCTGGTCTTGAGTGTGTCAAAAAATGCCGGTGTGCATTGCCCTTCACCTGTGACTTGCTTAGATTTCTGCCTGTCTGCCCCACACAGCCTCAACACTGCTACACAAACCAGGCCTGACTGGTCAATTACTGTCATCAGCTGAGCTGTATCAGTACATCGAGCACTTCGTTTGTCTTATCATTTTACCAGATGAAGGTCTAAAGTGAACAGAAGCCTCACATATTGAGTGTGTTATATTTACTGGGTAAAACAGCCCTCCTTTTTTAAAGATTTAATTTCATTAAACCCAAGAAATGGTGAAGTACTTCAATGATGACATTGGTGCAGAAAGTTGCCAATTGAAATGGGGCATTTAATGCTACAGGTTACTGTAAGCAATCACTGTTGTTTGCACTTTCCAGAGGGGTTGTTTTGACTCTTGTTGGAGTCTTTTTTACTCTTTCTGGATTTGTTCCGAGGAGCTTGGCTGATGACTGACTGAAGCTGTACAGGACTCACTTCACCACCACCTGCCTCAGTACCATCCGCGTAATCTGAAGCTTTTGACACAACCTCTGTCCAACCAGCTCTCCCCACAGTATTTGGGCAGACCCCTGCTGCTTCTCTAATCATGTGCACTCTCTCATTCTGACCAAGGTCACCTGCATCCTCAGCTACGTCCGACGTTCCAATAAAACATGCAGTTCCTCTCTCTGATGAGCCTGGGTCTTTTTCCAACACTGAAGATATGGTTTTGTCCACCACTTTAATCTGTGAATAAACTGTTGGTGATACCTGACCAGATGCAGTAGTTGCACTATGATCTAATCCCTCTGTTATCTCTGGGTCAAAAGTGACCTCTGCTTTGCCTTCTTTCAAAGTGAGATCTCCAAGCTTACTCTGTTCAATTAGATCTATGTCTGTGTTGTGGTAATCATACTGGTTAGTTTCACCCTCAGCAACTCGTCCAGATGCCAATATTCCACTACTGGCCCCTTTATCTTGACTGGACATGAAAACCTGTCCAGTGGCCACCCTGGATGATCTTAGCTTCTCCGAAGATGTAACCACAGTATCTAAACCCTCCAAGTTAGCACCCGTCACTAACGCTTGACCAACGGTCTCTTGTCTCTCAGGAATATCCAGAATTATGTCTCCTGTCTGAGAAAAGCTCATCCCTTGATGTGGAGTAACTTCACAAGGGGTTTCTTGAGTTACGACCACCTTTGACGTTGCTGCCACCGGGTTCATCTCTGCATGTTGACTTGCTAAATTAATATCTTCCTCAGATAAACATTCAGTCTCTAAAGGCTGAGAGTCCTCTTCTAACAACTGGGTAGACTGAATGTCTTCTTCCTCTACGTGAGAACTTGTGCCTGGTGCATCTGAAATGCAAATATTATGCTGTATGGATGGTGCCTCTTTCTCTCCATCACTTACACTGTCATCTGAGATGATCTTATCATTCGCTTGAAAAACTGTGTGGGAATCTTCTTTTCCACTCTCCTCATTTTCCTCTGAGATGAAAGCCGTTTGATGTACAGGTGACTCTTCCTCCACAATATTCTCCTCTGTCGGGCCGTCTCTTATGCTGTCTTCAGAGAGGAATTGATTTTCTACTTGGTGAATCACACTTCCTGCATTTACTTCTCCAATCTCTTCATCTTTGTCATTTGAGATGCTAAGATGTGGCTGCATGGCTGATGCCACTTCTTCCACAATATGCTCCTCCTTCTCTCCAATATCCATATTGTCACCTGTGATGATCTGATCCTCCAAAAGAGAACTTCCTAATACAGCTTCTCTTTTAATATCTTCATCTTGGTGGTCTGTGATGCTAACATTTTGATGTATGGACAACGACATTTCCTCTGCAGTCTCCTTGTCCTCTTCCTCTGGAACTTGTATGTTATCATCTGAAATTAGGAAACCATCCACTTCAAAACTTGTGAGTGATGAATCTTCCTCTGCACTCCCTTCATCTTGGTCATCTGAGAAGCTTATATTTTTCTGTAAAGGTGACGCCATTTCCCCCAAAGCATCTTCATCTTCAGTAATGTTGTCATCTGAGGTGAAATGATCCTCCATTTGAGAACTCAAAGCATATTGTCTCTCAGTGTCTTCATCTTGGGGTTCATTGGGGGTGCTAACACTCTGCTGTGACACTCCTTCCTCCAAAATACTCTTCTCTTTCTCTACATCACTTATACTGTCTGCATCTGCATTGACTTGATCCTTGTATACTCCTGATTCCGACATCATATGTTGTTGATTAGCATCATCTTCTCTGTAGCCAGTGCTAATGTCTTTCGCTATATCCAGATGTTGCTCTGATGTTGAAATGGTTGGGACACTGGAGCCCTCTGCTTGTACTTGAGTGGTCATTTCTGCTGATGCTAATATCAAATTGGAGTCACCCAGATCTTCTTGATTAGGTAAAATAGTGCTCACAGTTTGCAATGATGTTCTTGCTTCAGAATTAGCAATAGCTGTCTTTGTATGACCTTCATCTATCCTGTTCCCTAGATCTGGCATTGCTTTTTGATCAGGGATGGACCTCTCTTCAGACTCATTCACAGTGTCTGTTGAAATCTCATTTGGAGGAGCTGCTGACAATTTGTCAACCACAGAATTGACTCCCACTTCAGGATCTAAGACTTGCTCCTGCTCAGCCGTAACCTCTTCATATGAATCACTGGTGACAGTAGTCATTTCCTCCATATTTTCTTCTGCCTGGATACTATCAGAGGTGGCAATGACCTGATTTCTTTCAACATTCTCTGCTGGACGGATATCTTCCTCCAGGTCCCTGTCACTTAGTTCCTCTGTGACTTCACTTAATTGAGGTTCTGACCCAACGTCAGCACTTCTGTCCTCTGAACCTTCAACTATGCTTAGCTGAGCTGAACTCCCCTCTTCTTCCACTTCCTCTTCTTTCAAAGGTGCTGCTTCATGTCTGCCCACATTTTCTTCTGTGCTATCATGTATTTGATCGTCTACAATGTTGATGGGGTCTGGAGTAGAGGTGGCTCCCTCTCCTTGAGAGAATGTTGATAACTCTTCATTCTCTTTGACTGTATTAACTAAATCTGTGACATCTGATCCAGACTGCAAAGCTTCTGTGGACATTTCAATGACCATGGATATTCCTTCCTTGGAAAAACCTTCAGAGGGAACATGCTTTTTCTGCAGTTCTAACTTTTCTTCCTCTGCTTTATGTTGTGAGTCATTGGATTCTGTTGATTGACTTATCGCATCTGTAAATGTGTTCGCTGGATTTTCAGCGATTCCCTCAAAATTTACAATTGAAGATTTTTCTGATGTTTGAGTTGGATACTCTTCTATACTCTCATTGTCCTCAAATGCACTTTGGACCAACTTACAAGGCTTCTCATCATCAAGTGTTGTATCATGCTCTGATGTGTAGGTGACCACCTCTGGCCTTTCTTCAACTGTATCCTCATGCATGTTCTGACCTGGATTGCTGTCATCCTGAAACTGATTTTTCATCATCCCCTCTTCCTTTGAATGCTGATGAGTTTTAGCGGTTTCCACAGTAATGGTGATCTTGTCTTTCTTTGGTAAAGCTATTCTACATGCTCTTAGAAAACCACTAGTATCCTCTGTTTGCTCCAATGGTGGAATTCCTTGGAACTGGTTTACACTGACCTGCCTAATCCCAACTGGATTTATCCCAGTCGGCCAAATTCCTGCCTGTCTGACTTCTGGCTTCATAGACACCACATGTCCCATTCCCATTCTTGGCTGTCCAACACCAACTCCCAAAACAGTACCTGGCCCAAAACCCATCTGCCCTGGCTGCCCAACCCATGTTTTCCCCAAATTGCTGTTTACTGCAACAAAATCCCCCTTTTTAGCAATGGTGTGTCCTGGCAGAATGCCGTACACACTCCCCTGGGCTGCTGGACCTAAAACCCCCTGAGGGGGAGCAGCCTCTTTTACCAGGATAGCATCTCTTGGCAAAGTGCCCTGAGATGTGCCTGGGTTCACCCCCTTTGCCTCACCTGGACTACCCATGTCTTTAACTAACATATAACTACCATCAGGATTTGGCCCTACCATTTTCCAGCCTTCCGCAAGGACTGAGCCCTGAGATACTCCTGGGCCACCAGGTAGCAACAGGCTTGGACTTACTGGACTGGCGAGCCTGACAGGGCTTGTGGGGCTCTCAATGCCCCGTAAAAGTAACCCAGAAGGAGAGCCTTGGGTTCTACTGATTATGAGAGCAGAAGGACTTTGAGGTTCACTGACTACATACAGGCCTGGAAAATTGGCTCCATGGGCCCCATCTGCCAGCAGAACACTGTTCTGAAGCTGTGGTTGAACTACATAGTGCACAGGCTGTAGTACAGGGCCGGTGGTGTAGTAAACTGGCTGCTGCTGTAGTATGACTGTCTGAGCTTGATGGTGCAGATTAGCAGAATGACTGATGTTAGAGGAATGACTGATGTTAGTAACATTGGAGTGAGGAAGTGTCATGGATGCTGGGGCAGTGCTTACAGTACTGTCAGATGATTTGGAGATGTTAGTAGATGACATGACTTTCTCTGTCTTTATATCGGTATGCTTTGTTTCAACAATGCGATCAATTTTGGGCATATTAACCGGTTCAGCAATATCAACTATGTGTGCTTTGACAGCGCCTGTTATGCTGTGTGTCAGAGAAGGTTTGGGTGTAGGTGGGCAACAGATCTCAGCCAGAGTCTTGAACTTTGGCCCGAGGTCATTGAGGAACTGCAGGTCATTGTCAGACCCAAGGAGGCTGCCCACTGAGCCAGCAGAGGAGCCCTGGCCCTCAAAGTCATACTCCAAAAGACAGTCCTTCACTTGCACAACACAAGCCGCTTTCTGTTTAGGGCAAGGAAAAAGCACAAACGCTGGTGTCATTAAACATCTGTTTGAATGTGACAGATCTGGGGAAAAACAGCTGCATTCAAAGCTAACACAGTACCTGTGAGTAGTAATCATGGAGGAAAGCATCAGGTAGGGCTATATCCTCGTACAGAGCTGTCGTATGTTGGCCACCAGATGTTTGTCTGTTGAGTGAAGCACTGCCATTGCCATGGTTGAAAGATTTCGTCGAAAACCCGTAGGCGTTGTCGGTCTCCATCGAACTTTGGTTGGTTTCCCAAATCTTCTGCACAGTTTCAGCATAGCTTGACCTTTGCTGATGAGTTTCTGTAATTTTTGAAGGATTGGCATTGAAGCTCGCTGTTTGTACGGCTTCAACTTTCTTCTGGCTTCCCAACATAATAGGGACACTTAGGAGTGGAACTTCCTAAAAAATGAACAGAAAAATTAAAATGTGACCAATCAACACATATTTTGTATGATTTTGACATGGCAATCTGGGTGTGGTATCAAAAAATCATAAAGGTTAAAAGTCATTAGACTCCAAACCATAAAATCATAAAATCTGAAAGTTGATGCAACAAGCTTTATAACTACTCATCATGCCCAACTATAAGCTAATTTCGTTAAACTTTCAACATCATTTTGAATAATTCTTTACTAGGTACTTGAAAAATAATATGACTAATCTGTTTTTAGAAGGGGTGTGGCAGGTTGAACCCTCCTGTTTGTCCTTATCTGGACTCAATTTGAATGATTAGTGACAAGAGGTAGGATAGGGTGATTTATGTATCCTTCATGTAACCTTTCTTTCCACTAAAAGGAAACAAAAAATGACAGCCAACCTTATCCTCGCCTCTGCCTTCAGTGTGGTAGGATATGAGGTGTTCTTTGGCGTCAAATGGCAGATCACTAAATTGGTCAGGAAATATGGTGTTTGCTCCTCCACACTGACAGAACAGCAGGAGAAGAGGGATGACTGCAGAGAGAAGCAATAACATTTATGTCAAAGTAAAACTTAAAGGTATTTTTGATCTCAAGAGACAAAAAAGCAGAGATGAAATAACAAATGCAATGCCATTTTATAATAAATCCAACCTTTAAAGAATCTTCTAATGTTAAATTGAGAGTTGGTGACTTTACGCTATAGAGAGTTAAAGTCCCAAGTGGACCACCATAGGACCTTATTTCAGAGATATATCTGTGGTAGTCAATGGTGAGAAAATTGCCATGAATCACATATATGATGTTTAATTTTGCACATTAAGAAAGTTGCATTTTGTCATAAAAGTAGAAGCGTGTGAAAATATGAATTTAGAAAGACTACACACCCAAAACTCGCCTAATGAAGTCTCTCGCTGAAGCCACGATGTGAGTGTTTCGCACCAGGATGTGACGTTACTTGGGTTTTGCTAGTTCTTTCGCTTCCCAGCAGATACAAAGAGTTGCTTGATACAATCAGTGTAGGATAATGTTACATTTGTGTGTGGATTGTAGCTAAATTACCTAGCAAGCTAGCAAGCCAAGGTAACGGCCATGTTGGTGTTGGTGACCTACATTGTGCGAGACAAGGGATGCAGTTCACTGATTGGTTTGAGACCACAAACCTACGGCAAACTGCGATTTTCATGATGATTCTTTTAAATTGACACATATATGTGTAGTTCATGGCACAATTCAAAAGGGATCAAACTATTATTTGTCTCTCAACTTTGACTATCGTACATATTTTTTCCAAATAAAAATGGCCCATGGCGGACACCGGAAGAGGAGGGACTTTGCCTCTGATGGTCATTTTTGAATCCATACTTATTATAGGCACTTCTTACAATAACTCAATCCAATACACCACCACAGATATTCTGTCCCCTTCATATGCGTAAATCACATTGCAACTTACTTTCCCTTGTAATGGAGTAATGCAATACTCAATGGATTCATTTTCAGTAAATTCACCTACTGGTTTGCAAAGAACTACTCTTAAACAATATTCACAAAGTAGGTTAATGATATGCTGTATTCAACTAAAGAGTCATGAATATTTATGAAGGAAAGTATTTAGCCCTGTTTGTTGTCTCTCCCCCTGAACATCTGTTCTCACTTGTCTACTGCAAAGATGTCCATGTCATTCTCAGCACAGCTGGATATGCAGTATAGCTTTAGCAGCGTTTGAGTGGGTCAGAAGCTACACTCCTTAGAATCAATCATACAATATTTAAATCTCTGAAATAAACTGGGTATTTGTCTACATGATGTGGTGATTGTGTGTACTAGGGTGTTTGTTTAAGCTCAACTCACGCAGCAGTAAGCACAATGCCATTAGAAGCAGGCCGATGGCTGGGGCAGATAACTCAGATGAAGTAGTTCCTAGTCTGGCTGTCTTCAACGTGCAGTCCTTTGTTTCCGCACAGGTACAAACGTCCACAGTAAAAATTTCTTTGGTCTCACAAGACAGACCCTGAGCGTCCAACACCTCCACCTGCAGCTGATATGAGCCGGGCCACAGTGACTCAAGAGAGTGAAGAGCGGCACTCGTAGCTACAGACAACAAAGGAACTCACACTGTATTACCATCATTACTATCAGCTTTAGTAGTGATACTTGTAGTACTTGTGATACTTGTAGTACTGTAAATGCTAGTGCAATACTAATATGCCTACTATTGTATGCTACCATTACAGGCAAATACAAAATAAAAAGTCTGTAGTCCTGTAGACAAATCTTTAAATCTAGACTCTAATTTAATTAAGTGATGACCTTATTTAGGATATAATACATTTTTGTTTTAAATTGAAAATCTGAATCTAAAAAAGGCTACGCTATTGTTAGCTTCATACCTGATCGTAGCTCACTGACTTAAATTCAATATAGGCAGCTGCAACACATTCTCACTCTCGACTCGTCAAATAACTACACTTCTAACTAGAACGATCTAGGTTCCCCTTTGGTGTCAGTCTTGGACTTAGGGACAGTGTCAGTTTGCGCTCATTACATGCAGTGTCTTTTCTGTTTTAACAGGAAATGTACAGTTTCTGCTCCTGACATGCATATAGTCTCTTTTGAAAATATTCTTCCAAACATAGGTTTACTTAGTTTTTAGGTTTACTTACACAACAAAACAATTTTTCAGTTAGGTTTAGAGAAAAACAATTACTTGATTAGTTGTTAAGCATGCAAGTTAGGTAACAAAAGTTACAAAAAATAATTCTCCTGGGTAAAAAACCCTAAATTTATTTAACTCCAATGCTTTGGATGGATTAAATGCAGACGTGAAATTTCATGTACCTGTATGTATATGTAACTACGTTTTAAGAACGTCTTTTTTTTGACGAGTTGGAAGTGAGAATTTATATCTTGATCAATTACAGCGTGACTTTTTCTTTTTGCACATTTTCTTACCATTGATGACTTCTACGTCCCAGCTGCCTCGAGTCCCTTCAGGTACGATTCTGAATGTATATGGAGCAGCGTTGGGATAAGCATCCTCGTCAAAGCCAGTGACATGAACAGTTTTTTCATCGGAGCACAGACTGCTGTAGGTGGTGGTCAGGGTGGGACAGTGGTCGTTGAAGTCAGTGACTTTAATGGCTATTGTTCCCGTGGCTGTCTTTGATGGCATGTCTGAGGATGACAACGTTGAAGTAAGTCAAACAAAACAGACTTGATTGCATGTAGCGAAATTGTTATGGTGCGTGCCATATGGCCGATACATCCCCAGTGTGATTCCAGCTGTGGGACCGTTGTCGCCTGTCATAGCTCTCTATTCCCCCCATTTAGCAGCTTTACACAAAACAAACATAAGTCTTGCTGAAACTACCTGCTCAGTACATTCTTAAAGCAAATACATTAAAAAAGTTAAATTAATTACAAAATGAAATAATAAATACAAAACATTGGTACATCTGGATAATTCCCCATTTCAATAGTTTCTTCGATACTAGAGTTTTTTAAGGAGGTGTGTTAAAACTGACACTAGATGTTTTTCATTCTATGGCTGACACACCCTGAGTCACAACGTGATTGGGCAGGTTTCTGTCACAGATCAGTGCACTTCATTTCATAGATCACCTCGGGCAACTACGTTTATGAGCTGCTCATACAACTCATAATTATACAGGTTTATGGAGTCCTTCAGGGCGAAAGCCAAAGCCGGTTTTTACAGTGCCGAGAAGCCAGAAATGAAGCCTTCTTGTTAACAACTATCCTACAGGGTTATAAAGTACAAAAGGGATTACCTTTGGTTATGGCCAGAATCTTGGCAATGTAGGTACCATTCACCAAGAACGGTGACTCTCTATCTGGTGCCTTGTTGAGTTTAATCTCAGCTGTTTCTTCATCGATGGTAAACCAGTTGTCTGGATCATAGGCCTTGGCATAACTGGAGCACAACACATGTGTAGGAAAGGGAACAAAAAACATTAAGAAAAGTAATAATATGTAACAGTAGACTGCTTCACCAAAAGTAGTGATTTGGATAAAGTAATGCCTTGGTTATACTTCTGCAAGGATGGTCGCATGGACATGAGCTAATGGAATGGTGACGAGGAAACCTTTTGATGATTTGTACTCTGTGCAGGGTTTCTCCCTAATGCAGACAAACATTCTCAAAGCTCTTCAAAGGTCTCCATTTTCTCCAGGCCATCCACATAGTTAGAAATTGTTGGATGTGCACGGACAGGTAAAAACCTGCTGCGTGGAAGGGCAGTGTCTGATGGTGTGATGTCACCTTGGCCGCACGGACACTTGCTACCCTCGCCGATGCGACTGGTTTCAGTGCACATTGCAGCGGGAGCCACTAGAAATAATGGGTTTCAGAGTGCAGTGGTGTCGTTGTGGTGTTGTGCCTGAAAGGGCCATGAGTGTGCTGGTAAAGCCAGGAGACAATTGTCAGTCTTCACCCTAAGATAATCACTTCCTGGCTCAAGCTACACAGACAGGAGAGTGAAATTAACCTTTTTATCCATCTCAGAGCAAAAAAACAGCAGGGTGGGTCTAAGGCCTACTTGACTTTCTAACTATGGTGACCCCCCTGCCCAAATGGTTAAAAAACTATTGGGTCACCATCATCATCATCGGGTCAAAATGTTAATTTGACAAATACTTGCGTTTAAACCAAATGACATTCCCATCAGCCTCAGCTGCACTTTGTGTTTACTGCTAGCTAGTAGAGTTTAGTATGCTAATATGCTAAACTAAGACGGTGAACATAACATAATAAACATTCAGCCTGGTATCTTAAAAATGACGTTCCAATACAACAGAACTACATTTTGAATTACGTTTTCGAGGGACCATATTTTCTCCTGAATTACTTTTGTATTTGACATAACACAAATACGTTACAAATAAAAAATCTGCTTAAGTCTGCACAGGGAGGAGGCTGCAGTGGATGTACGGATCAAACACAGGACTCTCACCCAGGATACCATTCATATCCTGTATGAAACCTAAAATAACAAACCATGATCTTTTCAAAGTAGTCTTGGTGCCTAAACCTAATTGAGAATGCAGTTTTGAAACAGAAAAAGCACCACGAGCGGTTAAAACACTGTGACATTGATATACACTCGTAGAAATGTTGATTTTTGGTTCAGAAATGTTGAAAGTCAACATATCCGTGGTTTGCAGAAACATACAATGGCAGCATTTTGTTCTGGCAACTTGGTTGAAACATAACAAACATCAGTAAGTCAAACATCAGTGCCCAAGTACAGCTACAGCTGTGGTCTCCTCTCTTGACTAACCTGACATCTTCAGCTGGCTCTCCTGTGTCTGGATCGGTTGCAGTGAACGTTGTGATCACACCATCGTCAGGTGCTTGATTTACATCTTCTGATACAGGAACAATCTTGGTGTTGGGTATGAATGTTGGACTCTCCGGCATATTATTCACGGCTATTTTAATGGGATAGCTAGTCGGTGCATTTGGCTTTGGCTTTGTTCCAGGTCCTGGCTTGACTCCTGGCTTAAGTCCTGCATCCAACCCAATACCGACTCCAACATCGACTCCAGCTGCAGCTACCGCTCCGGCACCGCCACCGGCGCCGGCACCAGCTTCGGTGCCGGCGCCGAAGCTGGCGCCGGCGCCGAAGCTGGTGCCGGTGCCGGCGCCGAAGCTGGCGCTGGCACCAGCTTCGGCACCGGCACCGGCGCCGGCACCAGCTTCGGCACCGGTACCGGCAGCAATAGGTGTACCTTCTCCAACTTTAATGTCTACATCCATGTACATAGCACCACCATCCACAAATGGAGCTACATTTGCAATGAGAAGGCCAAGCTCAAGCTTCTGGAGTTCTTCAAAATCCACTGGCTGTTTAGTCCGAGATGGAGGGTAAATAATGTGGAGAGAGAGGATAATAGGAGCTGTTAGGGACCCAACCAACACTAGATACAGTAAACATTGTATGTAAAGTCACAAAAATACCTTGATCAGCTTCAGGATGCCCTCATTGGTTACATTGTCTGTCTCAATGGAGAAGACATTATCCTCATTTCCTGAAGCGATTGAATAGACCGTCAGCCAGTTGTCTGTGTTTATAAGGTCTTTGTCCAGAGCTTTGATTCTCATCACAACGACATCAGCAACATTTTCATCCACTGAGACAGAGTACTGCAAACACAACAAGATTCAAAGCATGCAGCCTTGAGTTTAAATTGTTTCGAAAAGCTATAATTGTTCATGTCATACTGTCATCTCTTCTGTGTGTTATGAACAGTGGAAACAGACATTAGATGTAAATACTCGAAAAAACCACCCACAGCATCCTGTAGGGCTGTGTAATGGCAAGAATATGTACAGTATCAAGATACAAGGGGTTACGATTCAATATATTGTGACGCTGTGAGCAAAGCCATATATGGCGATTACCTAAAATCTTCTTTCAGGAAAACTAAAATCACAAAGACTGCACCATCATATGCATGAAAGTGTAAAGAATAAAAAAGTGTACTTTTTTATGCAATCATAACAGTGGGACTTTTGCCTTTATCACAGTCTGTCACATCCAACATCAACACAAAGTAAACCACTGTCTGCCACAAATCTTTGCAGGAAACTATTTATTTAAAATCGATACAGTGTTTTTGAGAATTGATACATTATCAGAAAACATAATATTGAGATACACTTGAGTATCGATATCATTTACACCCCGAGCATCCACTTTGAAGAGGTCAAAAGGAGTCAGTTGAGAAAGTTAAAGGAGGCTAGGTAGTGGTTATTATCGCTCTCCAGATGTAACTGCTTGTTATCATGTGACCAAATGGTCAACCGTCTTGTAACCGCAAGGTCGTCGGTTCGATCCTTGACTGGGACGTGTAATGTGTCGAAGTAAAAATAAAAAATAAAATCCCAAAGATCAGGAATTGTGGAGATATTGCTCTTATAGTTCAGTTCCTGCTGATAGGTTCTTGTCCAAACTTGATTCTACATCAAGTCAGGAAAAAGTATATATATATATATATTAGAGCTGAGCAAGTTAACGCATTATTATCGCGTTAACGCATTAATTAATTAACGCCGACAATTATTTTATAGCACGTTAACGCATTTAAAATTTTTTTTTATTTTGAAAGTCCGTTGCTCACTGGCAGCGGTGGAGGAATGGAGACTACTGGACATTGCTGCGGTAAAGTCAGCAGACACTCAGATCTCTGTGGTCAACTTAGCAGACACTTACATGTTAGTGCACCTTTATGCTGAAATTCACT